GTGTTATGACCGTAAACAAATTAAACATATAAGCCATTACATACAGTATCAAATGAGACTCTTCAATAATAACCTTGAAATTGATTCTGGCCCCAGTTGGGAATATTGATGCTCTAAATGTTTTTCACCATAGGACTGTCCTGAATCAACACTAGTGTCTCCAAACATCATTTGCACAGTGCAATGATGTTGAACTCAAGACGGATTAGACATGTGGGTGTAGAATTCTCCACTTACATTTCTCCAGAGCATGTTTCATACACCACATGCTATTATTTATCAATAATTATGGCCACGTAGCCACAACCTTTAGCCAAAGCGATTTACAGTTAATAGACTTTCGGTTCTGTAAGTGTCCAACACAGGAATTTAAGCTGCAACCTAGGAGCTTCCAGCAGCCACTTGAGCCATCTGTAGCAAACTACAATTCTCTCAAGTTTATCCACAGTATAGATAGAGTTTATTCGGTCCAACATCCACTACTGAGACTGAGCAAAACATCTTTGAAAAAGGGACATTGCAGCAGTAACACATAAGTAGGGTTGGAAAACTACTGGTAATTAACAGGTAATCTATGGCAACTTTGGTAATTTATACTTGAGTAACTTCTTAAAAATATATTTATATATAGTACTAATTTTTTATATCTGTGTCCATATTGTCCAAGAGGTTCTAGTGGATAGACCATATGGTTCAAGAGAAAATACCCTAATTAATTAAAAACATCTAAACAACAACGGCATTATTTTTTATTAACTCTGCAACTCTTCCAACGATTGACTTTTTTCACAACTGCCACCAGCTTGGCACCAAAACACTTACAACAAAGAAATATAATTTATATAAAAAAATGTAAAATATATTTTATGCTGAAAGTCATATTAAACACCACTGGTATTCATTAAGTTGATGGTTTTTATTTATGATAATGTTTTACAGCTTTGACATTCGTGTAGCTCAGTTGGTAGAGCATGGCGCTTGCAACGCCAGTGTTGTGGGTTCGTTTCCCACGGGGGGCCAGTATGAAAAATGTATGCACTCACTAACTGTAAGTCGCTCTGGATAAGAGCGTCTGCTAAAATGACTAAAATGTCAAAATAAAAAAAAGAATCACATTTCTTTATTATTTCATATATTTGACATGTGATAAGGCCACACAAAGGGACAGAAATAATTACAGACACCTGTGATAATCTGAAGTACCCAAACAGGCCACTGTGCTAAAATTCCCCCCAAAACTTGAAAGTTACTAAAAATCTGGTAGTTTACTGGTAAACGTAGAAAGTTACCAGTAATATACCCTCCCTTTGCCACCCTACACATCAGTAGGCTTGGGCGGTATACCGTATATATACCATATACGGGGGTATTTGGAAATAGCCACGGGATGGTTTTTCAATACCGTCAAAACTATTTATTTGAAGTTCTTTTTATAAATTTGAATATTTGTAGCTACTTTTTAGGTAAATACCTACAGTGAATTTGTGCAATATGTTAGGGGATAAAGATCACGTTCTTCATTTCAGCTGTCACATAATTAATTATTATGAAGCTTACCAGTAGTACACAGTCACGTGGTGTTTGTTTACAAGCACACAACGACGAGAGACCAGAGCCTTGTGAGTCACTCACTGTTGTGCAGCACACCCAGTTGATCTAGTTACAGTATGGAATTCACAACTAAATGTTTGCCAGCTAGATATCTTATAACTATTCAAGTGAACTGTCTAAAATATGCTAAATGCTCTGCAGTTGTGCATTTCGTTCGCTAATTTAGTAGCTAGTTAGCTATCTAGCAAAGGTTAGCTTTTTCCAAAATCAAGTTTTGCTTGCCAGTAACAGCAGAGAATCCCCTCCTGGAGCAAAAGCCTTGCTGTCTAATATTTGTTTTGTGCATGCAGCAAACTGTGAGTAGCATTTTTGAGTTACTTGTATAACTTTATGAGCTGGGATGTCTGTCCTGAAAATAGTTTAGGTCAGAGACTGTAGAAAATGTTGATAATGTGATCGTTAGCATTTAGTTAGCATTTAGTTAGCATTCTCTATGGGATTTTACATGTACTTGTGCCGGTATTACCGAATATCCCAGTATGGCACAAGGTCGGTATGAGGGTATGATAATCTGGATACCGCCCAAGCCTATACATCAGTATCCACTTCTATGCAACATAGTTAACATACTACAGTAGAATTAATGTGAAATCTCTATCAATGTCCTACTCATTCATGGTACTGTATGCTGCTGTATTTTCCCATATTTTTTTACAAGACGTAGGTGGAATTTGTAGGTCAGTTGTCATCAGCTCTCATTGTCATTTAGAAAATGTTACTGTCAGGCTAATAATGGCCTCAAAAAAGTGTTACAGAACAATGAACACAGTCTCTGTCTCACCAATTCTGTTGTATGTGATAATTTCTTATTAGTTCCACCCCACACAAAAAAAATAACTTCAGTCAATTCACTGTTCTCATCATGAGGTAAACACAGCTACAGAGTGAGCTATGGCTGCCAGACTGCTGTCAAGCCCATCCTTCATGTTCCTGGCAAGCCACAAGGGAGGTTACAGAGAGGTGAAGAACCTCAGCTAAGTCTACCCAAATCCACTAGTGCTCTAAGAGGCTTTCTGGAACTACAGGTGCCACTGTCATCCACAAAGCAAGTCATTTAATTTTTCTAGTCTTTTCTATGGCCACTTGCATTATCATATTTTATAGTCGGTTTTATATTATGCTGGGTACAATAATCAGCCTTCAACATCAGTCTGCTTGCATGTAAAATCAAATCACTTACTGTGCGTGTCCCTCTTCAACATTTTTAATAGACAACAAGGTTCATGTTTGATAGAATACGAAGAGCATCACGATTTGCATGCATTGACTAACTTTTGTTGAAGTTCAAATGTTTACCTGAATGAAGGTTTAGGTACAGTGCCTTCAGCAAGTATTCACACCCCTTTACTTTTTCCACATTTTATTGTGTTACAGCCGGAATTGAAAACGTATTCAATGTAGATTTTATTTTGTCACTGGCCTACACACAATACCCCATAATGTCAAAGTGGAATTATGTTTTTCTAAATGTTTACAAATTAATAAAAAATGAAAAGCTGACTAACAACCCCTTTGTTATGGCAAGCCTAAAAAAGTTCAGGAGTCGAAATTTGCTTAACAAGTCACATAATAAGTTGCATGGACTCACTCGGTGTGCAATAATGGTGTTTAACATGATTTTTGAATGACTACCTCATCTATGTACCCAACACATACAATTATCTGTAAGGTTTACTCATTCGAGCAGTGAATTCCAAACACAGACTCTACCACAAAGACCAGGTAGGTTTTCCAATGCCTCGCAAAGAAGGGTACCTATGGGTAGATGGGTCAGCATTACAATAAACAGACATTGAATATCCCTTTGAGCATGGTGAAGTTATTAATTACACTTTGGATGGTGTATCAATACACCCAGTCACTACAAAGATACAGGCATCCTTCCTAACTCAGTTGCTGGAGAGGAAGGAAACGGCTAAGGGATTTCAGCCTGAGGCCAATGGTGAATTTAAAACAATTACAGAGTTCAATAGCTATGATGGGAGAAAACTGAGGATGGATCAACAACATTGTAGATACTCCATAATACTAACCTAATTGACAGAGTGAAAAGAAGGAAGCCTGTACAGAATACAAATATTCCAAAACATGCACCCGGTTTGTAACAAGGCACTAAAGTAATAGTGCAAAACATGTGGCAAATCAATTCACTTTTTGTCCTGAATACAAAGTGTTATGTTTGGGCAAATCCAATACAACACATTCCTGAAGCATAGTGGTGGTTGCATCATGTTATGGGTATGCTTGTAATCGTTAAGGACTGGGGAGTTTTTCAGGATAAAAAAGGAATGGAATGGAGCTAAGCACGGGCAAAATCCTAGAGGGAAACCTGGATCAGTCTGCTTTCCACCAGACACTGGGAGATGAAATCAACTTTCAGCAGGACAATAACCTGAAAACACAAGGCCAAATCTATACTGGAGTTTCTTACCAAGAAGACAGTGGATGTTCCTGAGTGGCCAAGTTAGAGTTTTGACTTAAATCTACTTTAAAATCTATGGCAAGACCTGAAAATGGTTGTCTAGGAACGATCAACAACCAATTTGACAGAGCTTGAAGAATTTTGAAAATAATAAATGGGGAAATGTTGCACAATCCAGGTGTGGAAAGTTCTTAGAGATTTACCCAGAAAGACTCACAGCTGAAATAGCTGCCAAAGGTGCCTCTACAAAGTATTGACTCAGGGGTGTGAATGCTTATGTAAATGACATATCTTTGCATTTCATTTTCATTTCCCCCCCTAACATTTCAAAAAACATGCTTTCACTTTGTCATTATGGGGTATTGTGTGTAGATGGGTGAAAAAAAAAATATTTCATCAATTTTGAATTCAGGCTGTAACACAACAAAATGTGGAATAAGTCAAGGGGTATGAATACTTTCTGAAGACAATGTACATGGCTGACAGACTGAAAAGTGTATGCTATAGTGATGTATTAATATCAGTGCTTCTATAAGAGAATCACATCTCAGTTAATAAAATGCAAGTTGTGACAATTGAACATACTGTAATCCCCAACTATGAAAAGTAGTAGCAGTGTCTTCTTAACCGCAATTATGGGTGTGTGGGCTACTTTTTCTGCTAAATTAGCTTCAAACCGCTTGATCCCCAATTCCTGCCAAGACGAGGGGTTTCGAAACTGCAGGCAGTGCATTTAGCGACCTGTGCACTTCAAAGGTATGAAACTCGCACCTTGAGAATGTTTTAACAGTTGGCTTGAAAGCAATGTAGCCCTTCATTAAAAAGCTGAGCCAAAAGTCCTTTAGACACAGCCGAACTCCAAAACTAAGGGGGAGGGCTTTCCATTAACTCAATGGGAAAGGGCTGCAGGACTTCTCAATTAAGTGTGCCTGTGTGTGTTTGTTCCCCTATTTCTTTGCAGGATCCATTAGTTCAATTTGTCACAGCAGGAGCGCCCCAAAGATCTCTTATCGGTACAACATACCTCTCGAGTGGCGAGTCTGTCGCTCATCTCCTCCGCCTTCCCAAAGTCCCCTTCAGCGATGGCGCTCTCTATGCTCTTTTCTAAGCTGGACTGGAGAGAAGGGGAAAATGTGGTGATTTTAGAAATAGAAAGGGGGGGGAATCAAAGAGTAACTTCAAAAGTCCCCTGGGCCTTATTTTTAATATGATTGCTATTACTACAAATATGTAGATTTTCCTTCACAAATGAAAACCTTTTTGATTGGATATTAGTGGGGAAATCTTCAAAAATTCTACTGGAGATTACCAAACATAAATGTGACTCTTTAATTACACATTTCCATTACAGGCAGGAGTAGAAGAGGGAGCAAAGATGCCCCTGGTTACCGATGGCCGGAGTGGTTCTCCAAAAAAGGAGACTATCCGAAGAAGTATAGTAAAGAGCATTTCTAAAAAAAACGGTCCATCTTTCACAGAACACACAAAAGCAAGATGTTGTAGTTTTAAATTAGGGGAGCCCTCTCGGAAGCATCTTCATAAGAATGATTCAAGGACTCAACTTGTTTATAGACACACACTCATCCCTCAAATTAATTTGGACAAAGACAGCAAGTTGAGCCTAATAATGATATGGTAATAATTGCAGAAAAACTAATAATAAAACTACCTGTACTACAACCACAACTTTACAGTGGTCTATTTGCTGGCAAAGTGGACTGAATTAAAGACAATGTTCATGTTCCAAAGAAAATATACTGTAAATGGGATTTCTATCAATAATGGGGCTAATGTGTGACAATTTTTTTTTTTTTTAAATACAAAAATACAAATTGCCAAATTGACACACAACTCTGCCTAACAACAGCATAGACCTAGGACTAGCATTTATATCCTTTAAAATTGCAGGAGTAGGGTAATATGGACACCAAAATGTATTTGTCATGTCATTTCATAACCCGATCACCAGATCATATTGTGAATAAGCACTCTAGGCTACTTTGTCATTTCTTGTCATTCTAGGTAACACTTCACTTGACACCCAGCGTCATAACACGTTATGACACGGTCAAAACCATGTCATAATATGTCATAACAGTTGACATAACTTGTCATAACATGGTCATAACACTTATGTTTAGACCTGTTTTGACAAATATTGCGTTATTTTATGGCTGGTTATGACACCTACATAAGTGTGTCAAAACGCACAAAACCTACAACACAAGGCAAAACGTTCCATTACACCATAAACATACTGTTGACAAGTAGGCCATGTTATTTAAAAAAAAATCTGAAATGTATCATATTAGATCATCACTGTAATTGTGCACACATTGATGTCAGACATGCAACTAGCCCAATGCTCTGATGACTGGGATGAATGCAGGAGCAGATTTCAGGAGCAGGACAAGACACCCTCTTTTTTGACTGATGACTGTACTGGCTTATATGATTATGAGTGTATTTGAATCAATGTGGGTTTTGACCGATATCGACAAACCATTTCTGTATGGACCTCGCTTTGTGCAAGGGGACATTGTCATGCTGAAACAGGAAAGGGCCTTCCCCAAACTGTTGCCACAAAGTTGGAATCACAGAATTGTCTAGAATGTCATTGTATGTTGCAGCGTTAAGATTTCCCTTCACTGGAACTAAGGGGCCTAGCCCGAACCATGAAAAACAGACCCAGGCCATTACACCTCCTCCACCAAACTTCACAGTTGGCACTATGCATTGGGGCAGGTAGCGTTTTCCTGGCATCCTCCAAACCTAGATTAGTCCGTCGGACAGCCAGACGGTGAAGCATGATTCATCACTCCAGAGAACGCGTTTCCACTGCTCCAGAGTCCACTACCGACTACTGTGGCGAGCTTTACACCACTCCAGCCAACACTTGGCATTGCGTATGGTGATCTTAGGCTTGAGCGCGGCTGCTCGGCCATGGAAACCTATTTCATTAAGCTCCCGACGAACAGTTCTTGTGCTGACGTTGCTTCCAGAGGCAGTTTGGAATTCGGTAGTGAGTGCTGCAACCGAGGACAGACGCTTCAGCACTCGGCTGTCCCGTTCTGTGAGCTTGTGTGGCCTACCATTTCGCGGCTGAGCCGTTGTTGCTCCTAGACGTTTCCATTTCACAATAACAGCACTTATAGTTGACCAGGGCAGCTCTAGAAGGGCAGACATTTTACGGAACGGACTTGTTGGAAAGGTGGCATCCTATGACGGTGCCACATTGAAAGTCACTGAGCTCTTCAGTAAGGCCATTCTACTGTAAATGTTTGTCTATGGAGATTGCATGGCTGTGTGCTCGATTTTATACACCTGTCAGCAACGGGTGTGGTTGAAATAGCCAAACTCATTTGAAGGGGTGTCCTCATACTTGTACTACTTGTATATATAGTGTATGACCGCCAAGCACTTCTGGACATCAGATCGACAGTTACTAACCTCAATTTCAACTTCAAAGACGATGTCAACTCCGTCTCAGCTGTTCCACTGTTCATACCGGTACCTATTCCTTTGTTCCATGGGCTACCAAAACGCTGCAGGCGTAGACGAGGTAGACGAGGAGGAGTCCTGGTGAAATTGAGGCAAAGAGTAAAGCGAACAGCGCTCCTGTCTGTTCCATTGGCAAATGTCCAGTCACTCGAGAATAAGATGGATGAGCTTCTTTTGAGATTCTCCTGCTGCTTCAAGTGTGAGGGAAATCTCAAGCTTTTGTTCACCTGATATAGAATACCTCATTGCAAGCTGCAGACCCTTCTATCTACCAAGAGAGTTCTCATCCGTAATTATCACGGCTGTCTACATCCCGCCCCAAGCCAACACCACTCTGGCACTCAACAAACTGTATGGGGCCATAAACAAATAAGAAACCACTCACCCAGAGCCAGTGTTTTTGGTGGGCGGAGACTTTAACGCGGGAAGACTTAAAACCGTCCTACCTCACTGCTACCAACAAGTCTCATGCGCCACTAGGGGTGCTGAAACTCTAGACCACTTTTATTCTACACACAGAAACGCATACAAAGCCCTCCCTTCAGCAAATCTTACCATGACTCCATTCTCCTGCTTCCTGTTTACAAACAAAAGCTCAAACAGGAAGTACCAATGATGCGCTCACTACGGAAGTGGTTGGATGAAGCAGACGCGGGGCTACAAGACTGTTTTGCTAGTACATACTGGGATATGTTCCGGGCTTTCTTGTATGTGTCCATGTCCGTGTCCTATTCCTTGTAAGCGGGTGGCAGGGCATTAACACCCGCCACCTGCTGGTAGATTTAGGTATTGGCGGATAAGAATGTCTATTTTATCAGCCACGATGGGTGGTCAATTTGCAGTGTGAGCATTACATTTGCGAATAAAAATAGTAAAAAGTAAAGTATGTGCGATTTATTGTAGAAAAATGCTACAGTAGCTGTTTTCAAAGTATTTCTGCTGTTTTGTTTCATAGCTGCAAATCGCACAAAGAAATATGAATCCTACATCCCACCTCAGGTAGCAACACTGCCTGGCAGGAGAGCTGTGCGCTCTGAGTGAAGTGCTGAAAGATTATTTTGGGGATTTGCACAGTCATAAAAGATGGTCTAATTTACTCAAGTCTACAATGTGAGACTTTGTCCTCGTGTTTCTTGGCTATTTACATCATTTTGTCCACAAGCTCGGTTGCTTTTAAACGTTAGTTTGAGTCTGCTGCTTCAACTGATAGCGAAGAGATGCCCTAGTCAGATCCTAAATCTCCCACACACACAGACACGACTCAAGTGGCCCCGTTACCACGGTAACCTCCCACCCTTAAAAAGAGGCAGCTGATATTTGGTAAAAAGACCCAGGTCACAAAAAATTCAAAAGAAATTGAGCAATCTACCACATTACTTCTTACTTATACATTTCTTGTTTTAGAAACATTACAAAGCATGGTCTTCCATTTAAAAGAAAAAAAAAATATATATATATATTAATAATTGTAAAGTGGTTATCCCACTGGCTATAAGGTGAATGCACCTATTTGTAAGTCGCTCTGGATAAGAGCGTCTGCTAAATGACGTAAATGTAAATGTAAATGTATTATGGCAACCAAAACAATTTTGGCTGGTAGAAAATCTGAGTGGCTGGTACATTTTTTTTATCTACCTGCCACAGTGACTGGTGGACCAATTTTAGGCCCTGGTTCCGGGATTCATCCAATAGCATTGAGGAGTTTACCACAACAGTCACGGGCTTCATCAATAAGTGCATAGATGATGTCGTCCCCACAGTGACTATAAGAACGTATCAAACCAAAAACCATGGATTACAGGCAATATCTGTGCTGGACTAAAGACCTACCGCTTACAAGGAATAGGACACGGACACATACAAGAAAGCCCACTACAACCTCAGACGAGACATGCGAAAGGACAATATAGGAGGAAGGTGGAATCCTATTACACCGGCTCCGACGCCCGTTGTATGTGGCAGGGCTTGCAGGCGATAACACATTACAAAAGGGAAACCCAGCCCAGCGATGCAGAACTACCAAATGAGCTAAATGCCTTATTCTCAATTCCGAAGAATATAACACTGTGCCTTGCGTGAAAGTCCCTGTTTTTAAGGATGACTGTGTGATCTCGCTCTTCGTGGCCAATGTGAGCAAAATGTTAACAATCACAAGACTGCCGGGCTAGATGGTGCATCGAGAAGTTCGTGAGGGTCTTAAGGGCCAAGCCGAATTTCTTCAGCTTTCTGAGGTTGAAGAAGTGCTTTTGCTCCTTCTTCACCACGGTGTTGGTGTGGAGGGACTTGAAGCACGGCGAGGAACTTGAAACTTTTGACCTTCTCCACTGCGGCCCTGTCAATGTAGATGGGGGTGTGCTCTCTCTGCTGTCTCCTGTAGTCCACGATCAGCTCCTTTGTTTTGTTGACATTGAGGGATAGGTTATTTTCCTGGCACCACTCCACCAGGGTTCTCACCTCCGCCCTGTAGGCAGTCTTGTCGTTGTTGGTAATCAGGCCTACAGCAAACTTGATGATTGAGTAGGAGACGTGCGTAGCTACGCAGTCATGGGTGAACAGGGGAGTACAGGAGGGGGCTGAGACACGCACCCCTGTCGGGCCCCTGTGTTGAGGATCAGCGTGGCGGAGGTGTTGTTGCCTACCTTCAACACCTGGGATCGGCCCGTCAGGAAGTCTAGGACCCAGTTGCACAGGAAGGGGCTTAGACCCAGGGCCCTGAGCTTATAGATGAGCTTGGAGGGCACTATGGTGTTGAACGCTGAGCTGTAGTCGATGAACAGCATCCTCACATAGGTATTCCTCTTGTCCAGGTGATTTAGGGAAGTGTGCAGTGTAATGGTGATTGCGTCATCCGTGGATCTGTTGGGGAAGTATGCAAATTGTAGTCGGTCTAAGGGAAGGTTCTTCAATTCCGGTCCTGGAGGGCCGAAACACCTCTGTTTTTCATCCTCTCCTTCTAATCAGGGGCTAATTCAGACCTGGGACACCAGGTGAGTGCAATTAACTACCAGGTAGAAATAAAAAACAGAAGTGTTTCGGCCCTCCAGGACCGGAATTGAAGAACCCTGGTCTAGGGTGTCGGGTAAGGTGGAGGTGATATGGTCCTTACCTAGCCTCTCAAAGTACTTAATGATGACTGAAGTGAGTGCTACGGGCCACTGGTCATTTAGTTCAGTTACCTTCGCTTTCTTGGGTACAGGAACAATGGTGGACATCTTGAAGCAAGTGGGGACAGCAGACTGGGATAGGGAGAGATTGAATATGTCCGTAAACACTACAGTCAGCTGGTCTGCACATGCTCAGAGGACTCGGCTTGGGAAGCTGTCTGGGCCGGCAGCCTTGCGAAGGTTATGACGCTTGAATGTCTTACTCACGTCGGTGATGGAGATCGGGAGCACACAGTCCTCGTGGGAGACGGGGGCCCACGTCAGCGGCTAAGGTGCTGTTTTCCTCGAAGCGGGCGAAGAAGGTGCTTAGCTTGTCCGGGAGTGAGGCGTCGGTGTCCGCGACGTGGCTGGCTTTCCCTTTCCAATACGTGATTGTCTGGAGTCCTTGCTACATACGTCTCATGTCTGAGCCGTTGAATTGTATCTCCACTTTGTCCCTGTACTGTTGTTTTGCCTCTGTTTGCATTACGTTGGTTTGGATCAGTTTTAATCGTCACAGTAGGAACAACATCCTCTATGGACTTCCTGATGAACCAAGTCACCAAGTCAGTTATACGTCGACACTTTTAGAGGCAACCCGAAACATTTCCCAGTCCGCGTGATCAAAACAGTCCTGAAGCATAGATTCCGATTGGTCAGACCAGCGTGAATTTAATTGAACATAGCTATGTTCCCCCCTATATCTTAATGTAATTATATGAAAATGTTTTGCAGATTATTATCAATGACTTATTAACAGCTGTAAAAAGTTGTCCACCACAGGAAATTCTCACTGGTACCGTAGTTTATAGAAAGACCCAAATGGATTCTAAATGCCTAGTGTGTAATTGACTTAGGCTAACATTTTTTAAAATCTAATATGAATGTGTAAATGACATTAATCACTAATGAGAATGTTGACTTCACAAGTTCTGTTTAATTCAACTTCTTGTTAAATATATCTTATCCATTCAAAGTAGTCCGTTTTTGCTGCAGAAACGCAGCAAAAACTAAATTTGATGGTACTTTGAGATAAACGGAATTCAAATAACACTCCAAATAAGCATTACAAGAACTTCCCATTGAATTAGGACAAATTCCTCATCTTATAAACTATTATTATATCTGCAACTATTTTGCTTGCACGACAATTTACATATCAAAAATATGTATGTCTCTTTCTTGTTCTATTACACCAGATTTATCAAGTACATAGATGCATTTCTAAATGGATTCAAGTAAGAAATTAACTCATTTGTCCAAGAGTTGCTTATTAGGGCTATTCTTAGGGGACACACACACAACAGCTATTCACCTATTCTTTCCTGCACAAAGACGCATGGCTGAGAGATACACAAATAAAAGCAGGTGAGTGTCTGTGATGCCATTTTCCATTCACCTTTTCATCAAAATGTAGGCTAGATCCATGGGTCTGACAATTAGCCTCTCACACTTTAAGTAGCCCATGTTATTGTGCGTGTACTGAGTGCACTCTGAGCTTTCCACATACAGAAACAAGGTGAGCGGGAGCTGTCAGGTATTTGTAGAGACATTCAGTACAGACACTTCTCTCTACAGCAAATCTACATCTTACTTTAATCTCAACCAAAAAAGTAGAGTGGAGAATCATCCCAATGTCAAGATTAAGGTAATCTTATCATTAAATGTAAGACAATCTTTTATATTTTACTCAATGTCAGGTTTGAGTCTAGAAACCTCTTAATCCGCCTGTCATATTTAATAAAACAATGAGAAGTTACACAGGCATGGACAAGGAAAGACAGAACATGTTCAATGCTTTTGCCATAATTTGATGGCATTAAACACAGGCAGACATTTTTACCTTGGGAGCAGGCTTGTAACAGGCAGGGGGTTGAAATCTATCATTGATGCCAAAGTACTGCGTCAGCCCTTCCCAATGCTTGTCATGCTCCACTTGAGGCTCTCTGGTGAGGAAGGAAAATGAGTGTTCATGTTTATTATCGGTTCAGTACACGACTACAGCATATGTTAAGGCTATAAATGGGTGCTAAGTACCAATTCAATTTTTTGAAAGCCAGAGTAGAATAGGCTTTCAGGTAGGCCTACACCAACAACAAGGCTACGTCCCGATTCTCCACCCTTTTCCATAAGTGTGCACTTGGACACTCCCTGTCATGGATTTAAAGCATAGGATTGGTGTAGCCTAAGCATTGGCTGGAGGGAGTTTCCACCATTCTAAACTCCATGCAAGAAAGTGTGAAAGCTTTAGTGCACACTTCGGGAGAATGGTGGAAAATCGGGACTAAGCCTTGAAGACTCTTTAGTAGTTAGTGGAATACTGTATAGAACTGTGTTTGAACAGATTTTTTGATACATTTACAAAAACAGATAGGCCTACATTACCTTTCATTGTTTGATTCCATGTTCTTAGTCCCTGATTCATCATCTGTTTAGTGACATGAAACACAAAGAAATGACTCTTGTAAATTCCAAAATCATCCAATTCTACAGTCCTTCATCAAAATCACCCAATTTGACAGTCCTTCGTCGTATTGTGTCATAACTCATGACCTCAGAAATATTAATGTACACTGTGATCATATCCATTCAAAACAGTGAAAAGAGGTAGACTGGCTGACTATTTCTTTCAGTGACTTCCAATGGAATTGTATATTATTTAATTATGTTCCACTAAGATCCATTCCAGTTCAGCTTTTATAGCCATAACACTATTAACTCAATTGTAATTATAATACAATTTTGAATTTAACAAGGCCAAACACTTTAACAAAAACACTAACGTTAGGGTCATGAGACACTTAGAATTTGGACACAGAATGAACCCTCTTCTTTCCCCATTTCCATTATTTCTGGGCTAGGACAAGTAGGTTACATCTGACCAGGGCAAAGACGTCCTGGATCGTTATCTTTTCAGTGGCTATTGTGGGTATGTATTAAAAAGAAGTGCGATTTACCTTTCTTATGCCGTCGTCTTCCCTGCTGTCTTTTTTGGGGGAGCTTCATTGTCTTGATCTCATATTTTTTCTTCTGTAGCTCTTTAAATTTCTAAAGAACATCAAGTGCAACCATTCACTTTTAGCAACAACAATGTATACAATAAAAGCATTTACCCAAATCATGAAAATCTCCCTTTCAACAGTTGATTAATTATGTTTGTGTAATGTGTATATGGTAGAAGTCTTTAGACAAACAGAAAAACATACAATGTAGCTTTACAAAGATGAGTAGCTTATCCACATTTGACTTGCTTTTGAAAGTGGCGCTGATGTTGGTTAACGGGAATAAGTGGTACAGCCAGGCTATGCAGCCATTTTGTTATAACACATTTTTGATTTCCATGCAGGTTTCATCATTCATGGACTGCCTGTCCAAAATTAGTAGGGGATGCTAGCTATAGAGTTTATAGGCGACATAGCTAACTAGCTAGCTAGCTAACGTTAGCTTGATATGCAAGATAGCTATAACCTGACTAGCAAGCATAACATGTGTGACATACTTGCCACTTCTCCTCGGAAATCCCGGGTAAGCAGTCCAACGACTTATCATTTTCTATGACGGGCGGGGTACGAGAAGAACTAATGTCTACAAGTGTCCCACAATTTTCCTTAAGACCACGCGAAAGTCCAACTGCACGACATTTGTTTGAGGCTAACGTTTTTTCTTGATTTGCAACAACACTTTGTCTTTGGTCGTCCTCATCATTTGAACTAATTTCTGCATCGCTCAGACCTTTCGGTAAAAGTCCGCTATACATGCTGAGAATGGCAAATCAACAGCAACTCGGTTTATAACGTGTTAGTCATAATCCAAAACAAACGGATATTTTAAAAATGGTCAAAATGCATCGAAAACTACATTTTCACTTCCGGGTGGACACTGTGACTCTTGCAAAACAACTGCTCCGATTGGGGAAAACAATATAGCCTCTACCAATGAAAACAGTTATTCTATCGCTGCACTAAAGCCCATGGTTGCGTTTCAGGTCGTCTTTATTACAGTCGCGCTGCGCATCTCAGATTATTGCCGAGATGTTGAACGCTAGTCCCTCTCAGAATTAACATAATTATAGAGAGATAACCACCATAAATGTGTTGGTATTCCATGATTAGATTAAAAAGACATATCCTATTGCAGCTATTGTATTTTTCAAAAGGTCAGTACATTTATTTTATTTTTTATTTGAGTCATTTAGCAGATGCTCTTAGCCAACGTGACATACAGTTAGTGCATTCATATTAAGATAGCTAGGTGGGACAACCACATATCACAGTCATAGTAAGTACATTCTTCCTCAATAAAGTAGCTGTCAGCAAAGTCAGAGCTAGTAAGGGGTAAAACAGTCAAGTGCAAGTGTTAGTTCACGAAAGGCCTTATTTATTTATTTATTTGGGGGGGGTCAGATGATAGGGTGAAGAGGTAGGGTTTCAGATGTTTTCGGAAGCTGTCCTAGCTTTAGGGGGAAGCTGGTTCCACCATTGGGGTGCCAGGACAGAGAAGAGCTTGGACTGGGCTGAGCGGGACCTTCCCTCCTGTAGGAGTGGGAAGGCCAAGAGACCAGAGGTGGCAGAACGGAGTGCTCGGGTTGGGGTGTAGGGTTTGAGCATAGCTTGAAGGTAGGGAGGGACAGTTCCTCTTGCTGTTCCATAGGCAAGTACCATGGTCTTGTAGTGGATGCGAGCTTCGACTGGAAGCCAGTGGAGTGTGCGGAGGAGCGGGGTGACATGGGAGAACTTGGGAAGGTTGAACACCAGGCGGGCTGCAGCGTTCTGGATAAGTTGCAGGGGTTTGATGGCACAAGCGGGGAGCCCAGCCAACAGCGAGTTGCAGTAGCCTGCACTATGTTCAAGACACTAGGTGTATTCTATTCAGGAAGTTATTTTTGACTGTTTAACAAAAGCCTACACTCACTGGTTTGCCAATAAGGGTAATAACTATTTGGCTTTCCCGATCTAGAAATTCAGGCAAAACTAATTTAGATTCACCCAACAGTATCGCCAAGTAAGTTATACAGTGTTAGTAATTGTAGGTAAGTGGTTTGTTACAACTGGCAAGTCAATGATGAAAAAATATAAATCTGTTATTTATGCCATGTTCTCAGGAAGATAAGCATTCTATTTTGTGACCAATGGTTCACAATTTATTCGAACAGCTGAAGGCATTGCATTATCATTAGAATGATTAGCATGCAAATCTTGTATAGCCCTTGGCATTGGCAAAGGAAGATCTACCCTAAAATTGCTAATTCAGAAAATCACATCAGTCTTTTTTAGTTGCAAGTGATTGCCAAACCAATAATCTACATGAATTATGTCTATACAAAAAATATTTCCTAAAATGAAGTGTATATTCCTGTTTATTTCAATTGTATTGTAGGATGTGGCTGACAACAATAAATGTGTGAATATTCTCTCTGGACAATATTGATTGGTAGACAGCGAACATTGTTGTTTACAGATTTCCAAAATATGCATAACAGGGTGAAAGTCACAACTAATGACCCAGATCTTCCTTAAAGGTGACCTTCAATCAAAACAAAGGTGAATGACCCAGTACTCTCCTTGACCTCCCTGCGCCCTTTGCGGGAAATGTTCTCTACTCCACTTTAAAGAGAAATGTAATATGCAAAATAAACCAGGGTGATAGGGCTTATGCTATCCTAGTATATTAAAATGTCATTCTGAAAATGTCAAATCTCTATCTTATCCCATGAAATATGCTACCATTAGCTGCTATCACTCACTCAGAATGATTGCCCATTTAATTACTCATGTGACAATGTGATGGAAAAAAGCAGGGTGAACTCTGAAGGTAAATGAGGAACCACAAAGTCAGGGTAAATACGTATTTAACAATATGGTGGCATTAGAAGCTTGAATTGTTTTGTATTGATTACCAGACTTTGTGTTCTATTTCACAGTTGAATTATTGCCTCTCTGAGCTGTCTCGCTCTCTCCTTGGCATGTACTCCAGCTCATTATTTCCAAAATGTCTTGGTAATTGGGAGTTGGCTGTTTAAAACTTGGAGTCTCTTATTAAGTTTTGGCCATGGTGGATAAGAGGCAGCAGTACTGTAAGTGCAGAGAGATAAACGAATCATCTTAAACCCCTAATTATTAGTATCTTAGTGTGACAGACTGTTTTTTGCGAGCTCACCAAATTGAGCCTCAAATGAGGAAAGGCATATCTGTGGAAGTGGTAATAATTTTAAGTAATCTCGATCTGGCTTGGGGTGGCAGAATTCATTAGTGCAGATTAGCACTGTGTGTACAAAGTAAATGAGATATCTAATAGCAAACGTGGAGGTCCAGGGATTCTTAATTTCCTGCCGAAGATGAGGGATGATGTTGAGGCGATTATACATATATTTTAATATTCTGACTTACCCTATATGGATCCGTGTGTGCCGTTAGCCAGTCAGTTATACTTTATCACCTAACCTTTGACCTTTCACACATAGCAGTCAGCCACTTTGAAAGTTGTATCTAAAACAGAAAATATGAAGCGCAAATCAGATTGTGCAGTGTTATCCGACAAGGTAGCAAGAAGAATTGTTTTCTGCAATGATACGGAGGAAGCTAATTTTGTGTGTAAGGAGTAGGTTGGGGGGAAATAATAAGATTACAAAGAATAATTTGCTGATATAATTACACCAAAATTGGGTACACACAATCATCAAATACATGTATTGCTTGACCTGGGTTAGCCAGTGAAATAAATCCTCCTTCTATAGCCTTTGTTAATTTGTTTTTATCATCTCCAAGTGGTGTTTGTGCAGGCAGTTCAATTTGCATGTGTAATTCCACTGTGCAAATTGACAACAAGTAGATAATTCTAGGAAACAGGCTGGTTGCTGGCCCCAGCTATCTTCCCAAGCCTACTCATTTTGAGGAACCACTGAGGCATGAAACTCATACATCAACTATTTCCTGACAACGCTCAGGCTTATTGTCCCCTAAAATGTCATTACAGACATTATTTATTAAGCTAATTCATTTATTAAACCATATTTACTCTGACGGAATTTGTCACATTTTATCCATATCCCACGCATTAGAACAATGTTGTTTTTATGAGTCAAGTAAATTCTCCCAAAGTTTTGAATTAATCTTAATGGGTTTCACACATGACATTGTTAAAAATATATAAACATGTAAATGGATCATGGTTTTCGAAAATGAGTGCAATCTAATGTCATCCTCAGAAAATATTGTTGTGTTGGTTCTCTGTTATTATAGTCTGGTCTCAGATCTGTATGTGCTTTAGCAAACTCCTCTGACTTTCATCGACAATGATATAGTTGAACAAGTTGGCTAAAATCACATACTGATAAGGCCACCACATGCAAACTTGAGACAACCATTGAATATAACATTGTTATGTTTGCTATGTAACCCCTGGGAGTTATTGTTATGTTCCTTTTGACTCACCATAGATTTTCTACGGGAGCCACCGTACCTTAGCTAAACAGCTGTTGTTATGCTAGCTCACGAATGTGAGGATCTTAGAGTTGTGGCTAATAAACCAGAGCCGTTTATAAAGAACTAAGTCTCGTTCTTCATCCACCCGTCATTCCCACCATCTCTCTGCCTCCTCCGGACTCGTTTCTGCCTCCTCCAGACTCGTTTCCGCCTCCTCCGGACTCGTCTCTGCCTCCTCCGGACTCTGCCTCCTTTTTCTCCGGACTTCGCCTCCTCCGGACTCGTTTCTCCTCCACTTGTCGTTTTTTGCCTCTGCTGCTCCTTGCTCCGGACTCTTTCTTTGACTCGTTTTACCTCCTCCCAGATCCTCTCGTTTCGCCTCCCTGATCTTCGCCTTTCTGCCTCCTCCAGACTCGTTTCTGCCTCCTCCGGACTCGTCTCTGCCTCCTCCGGACTGGTTTTTCTTCCTCCTCCGGACTCGTTTCTGCCTCCTCCGGACTCGTTTCTGCCTCCTCCTGACTCGTTTCTGCCTCCTCCGGACTCATTTCTACCTCCTCCAGACTCGTTTCTGCCTCCTGCTGCTCGTTTCTGCCTCCTCCGGACTCATTTCTGCCTCCTCCGGACTCGTTTCTACCTCCTCCAGACTAGTTTCTGCCTCCTCTGGACTCGTTTCTGCCTCCTCCTGACTCGTTTCTGCCTCCTCCGGACTCGTTTCTGCCTCACCCAGGCGATCCTGTCATTCCCTGGGAGCAATGGAAAGGCTTGTTTGAAATGTACCTCACAGTTATAGGACTGTTTTCTTTGCGACTTGCGGTAACTCTCCATGGTTCTAAATCAATAATGTCAGAAACATTAACTTGCTTGACCATGCTGTAGGTCATGTACAGTTGAAGTCGGAAGTTTACATACACCTTAACTAAATACATTTAAACTCAGTTTTTCACAATTTCTGACATTTAATCCTAGTAAAAATTCCCTGTCTTAGGTCAGTTAGGATCACAACTTTATTTTAAGAATGTGAAATGTCAAAATAATAGTAGAAAGATTTATTTAAGCTTTTATTTATTTCATCACATTCCCAGTGGGTCAGAAGTTTACATACACTCAATTAGTATTTGGTAGCATTGCCTTTAAATTGTTTAACTTGGGTCAAACGTTTTGGGTAGCCATCCACAAGCTTCCACAATAAGTTGGGTGAATTTTGGCCCATTCCTCCTGACAGAGCTGGTGTCAGGTTTGTAGGCCTCCTTGCTCGCACACGCTTTTTCAGTTCTGCCCACAAATGTTCTATAGGATTGAGGTCAGGGCTTTGTGATGGCCACTCCAGTACCTTGAC